GCCGGTGGCACTGCCGGTCGGTGGTCAGTCCACGTGTCAAAGGAGTTCCACCGTTATATAAAGTCAGTTCAAATCAGTTGAGTGATGTCAGCGAGGTGAAGTCACGTGACGTGTCGTCCTCAGTGTTCTGATGTTGGATGAAGCTCATGAAAGAACCTTGTACACAGACATCGCCCTGGGTCTGCTGAAGAAGGTAAAGCAGAGTTTTTGGAGGAACTTCACATCTTTGATCTGTTTTTATAGAAATGTTTCGTTTGTTTTTCTGTGACTCAAACAGATCCAAAAGAAACGTCCGGAGATGAGGCTGATCGTGGCGTCGGCCACTCTGGACGCGGAGGTGAGCGTGTGTTTGAAACTGACCTCAGGACTGAGGGGTCAGGTGCCTCTCCCATCAACCACTGCTTCCCTCTTTATTCACTTACACATGACACAGATGTTAATGACAAGGAAGTTGGCAAATCAGAAGGAAATGTTAAAAAAACAAAAACGTTCTTTTCTTTTGTTTGATGGAAAGAAATTCCACGACTTCTTCAACCAGAATGAGTCAGGTGACCCAGCCAAGGACACGTGTGGGATTCTGACAGTAGAGGGACGCACCTTCCCTGTGGACGTCTTCTACACTGTCAGGTGACCACATACACCCCGGCTGGTTGATGAGTTGACGTGAGTTCAGTTGTTGACTACCGTCTCCTCTCAGTCCCGTCCCCGACTACGTCAAAGCCACAGTGGAGACGGTGATGAAGATCCATGAAACGGAGGAGGATGGAGACGTTCTAGCCTTTCTCACTGGACAGGTGAGTGGTGGCCACCAGGGGTCATCAGTTAGAGTGGAGGTCTTAACCTTTCTGGGTCTTTTCCAATCAGAGAGCTGCTCTTGGTCATGTGACCCCAGGCCTCTTCACCTGCAGGTTGAAACACTGACTTTGTTGACATGACAACAATGACAAACAACAACAACGACCAACAACAACAACAACAACAAACCTGTTGACACACGAGTGAATGGACGTACTAATGTCTCTAACGTGAACCAGAACATCAGAACCTGGGTGTGTTGATCAGGTCAGGTGGGTTCTGTGGGAACCTTCAGTCCTCCTTACGCCTCTTCTTGGCTAACATCTCCACCACAGGAGGAGGTGGAGAAGGTGGTGTCCCTTCTGCAGGACGAGGCCAGGTCTCTGGCACGGTACGGCATGAAGAAACATCTGAGAATTTTGCCCATGTATTCTGGTCTACCATACGCTGAGCAGATGAAGGTCTTTGAGAGAGCGCCCTCTTCTGTCCGCAAGGTGAGTGTGCTCTGTGTTCAGAGGGTCAAGGGTTTAGAGTCCAGAAACGGGACAGACGTAAACCCTCCCTCTCCCCTCTCTCCCGCCCCCAGGTGGTGGTGGCCACCAACATAGCTGAGACCTCCATCACCATCAATGGGATTGTTTTTGTCATCGACTGTGCGTTTGTCAAGCTGAGGGCCTACAACCCTTCCACTGCCATCGAGTCTCTATTGGTCACGCCCATCTCCAAGGCCTCGGCCAGTCAGAGAGCAGGACGGGCTGGAAGAAACCGACCTGGGAAATGTTTCAGACTTTACACAGGTGTGTAAGGTCAGGGTCAAGCAGCCGTTCACCTGACCAGTCAGTCAGTCTGTCATCACTTGACCTCAGATCAGCAGGCTGGTCCTCTGACCCACTGACCCACTGTATGATTCCTTGTCTCTGTCTCTTCCTGTCTTCAGAGGAGGACTTTGAGAAGCTTCCCTCCTCCACTGTTCCAGAGATGCAGCGCTCCAACCTGGCTCCTGTCATCCTGCAGCTCAAGGCCTTAGGCATCGACAACGTGCTGCGCTTCAGCTTCCTGTCTGTGAGTAGGTCCACTCCACCTACAGGCTCAGGGTGGAGGGGCCGGGGTCTGGGGCACATGATGACATCACCTGCTGCAGCCTGACTGTGTTCTGTTCTGTCTTACTGCTTCACAGCCCCCCCCAGCTCAGACCATGGTCCAGGCTCTTGAGTTGCTCTATGCTCTTGGAGGTAAGAACCCTGCTGCTGCGGTACAGTCACCCTTTAGAACAGAGGTTTCCAACTACCGGTGCATGGTCTTCCACGGGACCGCAGGTCGTAAATGTTCCTGACCTTCAGAATCGTGGGATTCACGGCCTCTTCACGTATATTAGCATGTGTATGCGGGGGTCTTAGTACGTGAGGCCCCCGGTGACCAGTGTCCCGCTGTGGTTGGCAGGTCTGGACCATTATGGACGTCTGACTGAGCCCATGGGTGTGCGCATGGCCGAGTTCCCTCTCAGTCCGATGTTCACCAAGATGCTCCTGGAGTCGGGCAACTTCGGCTGCTCTAAAGAGATCGTCACCATAGCTGCCACCATGCAGATCCAGAACATTTTTGTTGTGCCGTCCAATCAGAAGAAAGCTGCTGTTAGTGACCCCTGTTGGAATATTTGACGTTTGACACTTGACCGTTTCTGTGCTCAGTGATTGTGCTGATTGTCGTCTGTCTGACCCAGCAGGCCCGGGAGCACAGGAAGTTCGCCGTGGCTGAGGGCGATCACCTGACCATGTTGAATGTGTACGAGGCCTTCCTTAAGGTGTAGTTGGGTCTCACTCAACATGGAGCTGCCCTTTCATGGCCACTAGGAGGCGTTAATTACAATCTCTATCCTCTCTCTGACTGTGTCCCTCTCTCCCCCCTTAGCTCCCCCACACCTCACCCTTGTAGACATAGTCAGTGGTGGACAGACATTAATTCCACTTGTCCTTGGTTCTGTTGTCCTCCAGCACCAGAAGAGTTCTCAGTGGTGTCAGGAACACTTCCTCAACTACAAAGGTCTTCTTCGGGCAGTCATGGTGCGAGAGCAGCTCCGACGACTGATGAACAAGTTCAAGGTGCCGCGCAACTCCAGCGAAGGTAAGTTCTTCTTCTGTTCTTCTGTTCACACACACACACACACACACACACACACACACACAGACTGGACTGATGCTTCCACATGAGATTCAATGAGAATGAGATTCAATCACTCATTCATCAGCCAGTCATACGTGCTGCAGTGACCTGCAGTGACCAGTGGGTGGCAGCAGCTTCTGTCTCTAACCCTCGCCCTCTGACCGTGGCAGGTGATCCAGATGTGATCCTGAAGTGCATCGTCTCTGGGTTCTTTGCTAATGCAGCACGGATTCACCACTCTGGATCCTACAGGTCAGAAGTGTTTCAGTCTTTCCTTGGACCTGGTCCAGACCTCCTCACACCTGGTCAGAAGTCTTTCCTTGGACCTGGACCTTGGACCTCCTCACACCTTCTCTGTTCTGTTTTTTTAGGACTCTACGAGATGATCGTGAACTTCACATTCACCCAAACTCGGTGCTTTATGGAGAGAAACCTCCCAAATGGTCAGTTTTCTCCTCGCATGCACTTACCAGAGCAGGGCTCACCACCAGGGGGCCCTGGACCACCTGGTAGCCCCCCTGGGGATTGTTCTAAAAACTAGTCGACATAGGGTCAAAAATAGTACTGGTACTGTTCTTTTCTGGATCAGGGACCCTTAAACTCCAAACCAGGTTCAGCTAGGTGTAGTGACGATGGTAAGAAGAGTGCCCCCTACTGGTTGTCCCAGAACTTGATGGAGCAGCATCAGTTTTCTTTTTGATTATGTTTTTTGGGAAGTCTGTATCAAACATGTAGCTCTTTGTAGTTCTAAGTACCCTTGAAGAAGTACCAAGTACCCTTGAAGAAGTACCAAGTACCCTTGAAGTACTCAGTTTCAGAAAGGTTGGTGAGTCCTGGACTAGAGTCTGGTACAGGGAACCTTATGTTTAGGAGCCTTTAATACTAGAAAAAGGAAAAGGTTGAAAACAGCAGGGGGCGCTATAAAGGTACACTTCTGACAGTGACACTGGCCGACCCGTGGTCTTACCTGTCCACGTCTCCTCTCCTCTCCAGGGTGGTCTTCAGTGAGATAGTACAAACGTCCAAATACTACATGCGTGATGTCACTGCTGTGGAGTCGTCCTGGTTGGTGGAGCTGGCTCCACACTTTTACAAAGAGGCCAAGGTAGGACACCTGCTCCTCAGCTGCTCCTCAGCTGCTCCTCAGCTGCTCCTCAGCTGCTGTGAACCTGCGCCTCCTTCTCCTCAGCTCTTCTCCTTCTCTCTTTCTCCTTCAGCACAGTTCCCTGGCCAGCAAGAGATCTCGAGTCCTGTGAGGGTCTGCTGAGGTCTGGGAGAACAGACGGAGGGTCAGTCCTGTAGCCACCGCACTGAACACACACACACACACACACACACATCCATATAAAGGAAACACCGTAGCTTTGGTCCAGAGATGTTCACCTGCACAAACCATTCACACCACAGTCCCATGAATGAAACCTTGTAGAAGTGTTTGTTTTTTTTCTTCTGGTCCAGACTGGAACTGTTGGAACTGTTGGAACTGTTGGAAGCACCTGTGGTTTTTTTATTTTTTGTATGATTATGATTAGATGTATTGGTTTTTCTGCTGACTCGGTGCTTTTCTCCTGATCCCGTTGACTTTGTGACCATGATGTTTGTATTTACCTTTAACTGTGTCTATTTACAGTCTGCACTAAAGGAAGGATTTGTGTTCATAGTTTTTTAAACCATTGTAAATCCTGAAATCGTTTTTATGTTTAGTTCCACTCTCTGTTTAGTTTAGTCCTTTAGTTTTAGTTGGTGTTTGTCCAGGTTCTGGTTACCCTGGTTGACCTGGGTGACCCTGGTTGACCTGGGTGACCCTGGTTGACCCTGGTTGACCCTGGCTTAGTGTGAATGTCCTTTCTGTTGTCTGGGTCATGTCCCACCTTGGTCTAGGTCAGGCATGGGCAAACTACGGCCTGGGGGGTCCAGCCCGCCAGACTTTTCCAAATTATATTTTTAATTTATATTAGCACTGAATATTTGGCCACTGAAAGAGTTTCATCACCGAAACAAAGGGGCCGAAACAGGAAGTTATGACGACGCAAGCACAAACCGCGGCCAGTACAGACTCCTCCTGATATGAGGAGAGGAGCAGATTACTCCAACTGCCCTCACCTCCGTCAGGGGCTTCACCTCCGTCACCGCTCCCGTGCTAACCTCCACTGCTCCCCTACAATATGTATTTAATGTATTGA